TGAACTGCCAACATGTCTGGGTAGCAGCGTTAACTATTTAGGTAAGCAAGGCTCCTGGGAAAGGGGTGCCTTGAACTAGGTTGGCGTACTTTGATTCCATCTGTGAAAGTGACAGCACAAACGATTAATTTTCCACCATTCCTGAGCATTCATTAATTACAAATCTAAATGTGTGACTAGAGACAAGTGACTTCCAGCCCTTTCTATGTATAATAGGTACAAGAACACCTAGATTGGTGCATCATTAATTTCTTTTTCTAATTTTATTTTTATAAAGCTGTTCACAATAATTACATTCAATATTTCAACACCAGTCCCGCCGCCATAATACCTTCTCACCACCATTATTTTGAATTTTTCCACCACCACCCAAAAGCAGGTGCTAAATAATTTTTTTGTATTGCTTGTTATGAATAATCCACTAAAAATGATCCAAAAAAGTTTTCTTTTGAGAAAAGTATGTGAAAATTGTTGTATCTCACCTTTGAGCAATTAAGCGCCTGTATAAGAGATCACTAACATGTTGTTAGAGCTTGAGCCGTGTGTGTGTGTGTGTATCTCTTCACTGTCACTGTCATCCCGTTGTTCATCGATTTGCTCGAGTGAGCACAAGTAACGTCTCACAACAGATTGTGAGACTTGTTGTCATTGTTTATGGCATATTGAATATGTCACGGGTAGCTTGCCAGGCTTTGCCGTGCAGGCGAGATACTATTGGTAGCTTGCAGTGCTATAATACAAGTTAGTTGCCTTATACTTTACACCCTATCAAATATGGTGTGGTTGGTATATCAATGGCATAAAGTACGCGACGTCCTGGTCACACTCCAGGAATTCTAGAATTTTAAATAGGGTGATAGGTGTATTTTTAACGGGGTGGTGAATTTTGGTTCCAGAGTCATCTCTTCAGTGTGTCGCTCTCTTCCGAGATTTGTGATTCTCTGGATCATGGCCATTAATGAGCTTATGTGGGACCAAGAGGCAGTTCGTGGGCATGACTGCTCGCACCCGGAAGCACACGGAAATGGGGGGAAGGATGCCCATTCCCGACTCCATGCAAACCCGGAGATTTCAGTCATAGAACCCAAATACCTGGATTTTGCAGCAGATTCATTCTCATGCGTGAGGGGCTCATCCTGAGCCTTTGAAGATTGGCTGTGAGCATGGCAGTGACTGGGTTCTAGAGATTTTTGACTGCTGGTGCTTTGTTGGGGCAGGTGGTAGACTCACCCACCCACCTGTGAGGTTCCCTGGCTGAAGTCCGCCTGGCGTGGCATGAGGAGACATCTCTGTATCATGTTGCTCTCTTCCGAGATTTACTTGTGAGTCTGTTAATAATTTTTTAAAGCAACACAATCCTTTATCCTTTACAAGTTCTTCAATAATTAAAAAAATTAGTCTTCCTAATTGAAATGGGCAGACAATCCAATTTTTCTACTGGTGTGACCCTAACCCTGGGTTACCCCATCTCCCCACCTACCACACCTTAGCCCTATGACAATCCTGTGGGACACAGGATTTAGAAGCGCTCACTAGTACCAGCATTGTGCACTCCAAGTTTTTACCTTTTTGCACAGTTAGACCCTGGGGTCTATTAATTTGAAAGACATCATTAACTTTAGCTTATCCTTATAATTCAAATAACCACGGATATAGATTATTTTAAGCTCAAGCTCTTCCCTTTGTGAATTTATGACACTGAGCTGGACTTGACTGTCATGGATGAAAATAGATTATAGCTCACAATTTTCTAATCCCCAAAGCGTTGGAAACCAAAAGCTTATCTTACTTGGATTTTCCCTGGAGTTATGTCTATTCCCAGTTGAGCACCCATAATAAAAAGGTAGAATACTTTGGAAACTTGGGCCAAAAAAAACCCCCATGTTACAGTGAAGTGACTGATTTAGAATCTGAATTCTCTCTGTTTTGCACAATGCAGAGAATTAAGCAGAAGTAGGGAACACTTTCTGGTGAGAGGAGCCATCTCAAAACAAAAGGCATAAGACTCCTCTTATAACACATTGACCCTGGCATGTACATCCGGTAGCTCATACTATAATGTGGTTTAATTAACACAAACTACAGCACCATTGTCACCATGTTAAGCAAACAGGGAACCTTTGGTGGAAGATTGCATTCCAGAGTCCCATTATTATAGAGTCCCAGAGTCCCATTCTAATGGAGTGCCATGTACATCACGGCAAAGCATCACTTTTTTGACAACCAGGCAAAAGAAGAATCATGTGGAGATATATGAGATAAGAAAATCTAGAAACTAGCAGGGCCAGAGAGATAGTTAGGTAATATCTGGTTTTATTTCAGGCACCATATATGATCCAAACATTGTCAGGAGTAATCTGGGAGCATCAAGCCAGAAGTAAGCCTTGAACATAGCTAGGTGTGTTCTAACCTTTCCCTTGCCCTGTGGAAAAATTAAAGCAATATAGAAGTTAATTTCTGGGCTGGAATGATAATACAGTGGGTAGGACATTTGCCTTGCATGCAGCTGACCTGGGTTTGATCCCCAGCATCCCATGTGGTCCCCCGAGCACCATCAGGAATAACCCCTGAGCATCACTAGGTGTGACCCAAAAAGCCAAAAAGAAAAAAAGGTCAAACTTCTTTTTGGCTAGGATTTTTAAATACCGAGAAAATGTAATGTTTTCAACCTGCCCAATATCACTATTGAAGAGGTGTTGCTGAGATGCTAGTATCATGTATTATTGTTGGTGAGCTTGTGTATCACAAATACTCTTAGACACCCTCGGGGATGTGTTTGTTATTGTTTCTGGGCTTGTTGTTGTTGCTGCTGCCTGTGGGCAGCTGGAAATTGCTGGGAAGACTGAACCCAGGGTTCTTCTTGCATGCAGAGAATGTACCCCAGCCTGCCGAGCCATCTCCCTGGCTCTAGACACTCTTTAAAGTGTCACTAATCTGAATATTTGCTTAGTATATTTTGTGTCCTTATTGAATGAATCATAGACCCATTTGAGGACCTACAAATATAAGTAGCTCCTGCTTTTATTTGTAAAGAACTTCTCTAGGTACCTAATTCTAAAACAAAAAGGCATCATTGCCACCTATGTTCAGTACTCCTTGTACAAGGTGGATGATACAATGAACTTGTGGACAAAGTACATGCAAGTATCAATATTTTTTGTCTCATTTTTGACTGAAAACCTCTGGGCACAAACAATTCAGAACCTTGCCATCTTCATGGCAACTTGGAAAATTTGTTCCAAGTATATTTATGTCTCTGTTCTTTGATGACAAAGTGTACTTTTTCTACTTTTCAAATAAAGTTCTTAGAGTTGGTTCATACCACTGCCAAGTCTTGAGTGGGAAGAAGGATGTAGAGCCAGAGACCCCCTAGAAAAAGTGCCCTCACGTTGAGAAATTTGAGACTATATTTCAATGATAGTGGCATAGAGGGGAAGGCAGGGAACAACTGGCTTCTTTGTGTTTGTCTAGCAGTATCAAAACTAGCAGGTGATGCATCCTGACAACCTCTGCTATCCCCGTCTTCCTCCTCCATTCCAACCCCCTAGACCTTTATATCTAATAAAAGCTGTGGGAATGAATGAAACGTATAAAATGTAGGTAGCAAATGCTCCAGAACCATACCACTTTTGATTCTGGGCCTTAACTTCATTAGACTTGGGAGCAGAGTTGTGTATACAGTTTTTAAATTATTATATTTGAGATCTAGGGAAATAGTCACATCTTTATAGTAAGCTTGGCTGAGACCAAATTTTTACTTCCTGGGGAGTTAACCACATAGCATAAAGTGCTCCCAGACAGAAGGGAGTAGCTGATGGTGGGGGTGGGGTGGGGGAAACTAGACTTCTGTATACATACACAAGAGTTCTAGTCTGTGCCTGTCACTATAGTACTTGTTCATTTGCCAGCATGCCACAGCTGCAGATGCTGAAAGGTGGCAGGAAACTTGGAGGCAGTCAGCGTGGAAAGCCTCCCCAAGAAATCTTCATGATGTATAGAACTCTACTGGTGTTCTTGAATATTTGCAATTTGCAATATGTTTGACTTAAGCCACCAGGTCTTTGCCTCTTATGTCAAAGAAATTGCATACCTAAGACAACCTATGGATGTCTTGACCTTCATGTTAGTGTCCCATGTTGGGGGGGGAACCCCACTAAAAGCCCTATTTAAAAGAATTAGTTCATACTGATATGTGAAGAAGTGATCTGTACATAGGAAATCTGAAGTTTAGAATAATAAAGTCCAGATCTATTAACTTGATTTGTTGTTCTTCTACCACTAAGTTTAAAAAAAATGACCTCCCATTGTCTCTTAACTGAACTTTCTTGATGCTTTTCATCTCAGCTTAAGTTCTATAAGAAGAATCATGTGTTATTTACTTCACTTTGATCCTCTCCTTGCTTTCCCTTCCTAAATCTCCTTTGCTTTCCTTGTGATAATTCACAAATAATAGAATGCAAGATGGCCAAAACTTGTTGCTAAAGAGTTGGAATTTGGATATAATAGCTGTACTAGTGATTTAATTAGGGAAAAGGTGTCCAGGTTCAGGGTGAATTGACCTCTGTGGTCTCTGAACAATCTGGGTTTCTTCTATCTTGGTTTAGCTCCATTGACCTCAGCGTTACCATCCTAGCCATCAAATCTAATGTTCCGTAACCACAAAGAAATGACAAGGAAAATGGATGCCCTATAAAACTATCCCTTTGAAAATATTTACTAGAAATTGTATATACTATTTCTGTTTATATTCTGCAATCAGAACCTAATCCCACGGCTATCCCTTTAAAGGGACTGAGAAATCTATCTAGTGTAAATGATGTATGCTTAACTGGGAATTACTGTCAGTCTCTGTCCCAAGGCCCATCCAACTCTGACTAGTAGAATAGTGTCCTTCTGGGTCTGTGTGTGTGTACCTCTGGGAGAATTCCTATCCTGAGGCTTGGGGAAATTGTATCACCTTCACACCCAATGCTTAGCTAAGTATTTCCTCCCAATTTTAGGGAAAAAAGGCAAATGTGATTCCTCCCAATTCCAGTGCACAAATGGCCGCTGTATTACAATGTTGTGGAAATGTGATGGGGATGAAGACTGTGCTGATGGCAGTGATGAAAAGAATTGTGGTGAGTATGGAGTTTAACAGTTTAACAACCTCACTTTCCACCACACTTGGACACGAAGGGATTTTATTGAAATGTGATGATGTTATATTCATTTCTACAGATGGATAAATGTTCCAAAAATTGAGTCCAGTTCATTTGTACCAAAGTCCTAAAATCCTGCAGTGCCTTCTTACCTAGAAAAATATTTAACTGCTAGACACAGGGTTACCAAGTTGAGTGTGGGTTGTTAAAAAGGAGTTCCAATAACTGAAGCTGGCTTAGCTAAGTTCAGCAAACATTTGAAACTAGGGGGAAGGATCAGAAGTAGAGACAAGATCGCTTAGAATAAACTTTCTTTTTTTAATTTCCAAATGGCTCTGATCCCAGAAAAGAAAGCAAGCCATGGATACTGAGAAACATCCTAAAGTTTTAAGGGACTTCTACATAGAACTACAAGCCACGGGGGCTGGGAGATAGCACAATCATCAGTATGCATTCCTACTGTGCACTTGACCTGGGTTCAAGTCCCTGCACCACATCATCTCCCAATCATTGCCAGGTGCAGCTCTGGAGGTCCCCGAGAATTGCCAGGGTGGCTCAGGAACCCCCAGCATTGAAACTGCAGCATGGAATCTTCAGGCCCTTGCTCTGAGCCAAACCAGCACAAGTCAAAGATCAGGGAAGGTGTCTTTGATTTCTCCATCTATAACAGAAGCTCATTTTGAAGAATTGAACAGTGTGTAAGATAGTCTCCTTTCCAAGAGAATGGGGATATACCATAATGCCCATTGAATCAATATCAGAAGATCAATGTGTGAAATCCTTGTTTATGTCATCCAAATAGCCTCATGTCATGCTCTGAGAACTGAAAGCTATACTTCAAGGTGACATATAGATATTTTGAATGTAAGCTCAAGGTTCTGTATGATCCCTTTATTCTATTACTCTTTAATATTGTGATACAATGGGTGCGTGAATAGCAGTGATATTCTTATTTGACTTTTGAAATACAAGTATATAAGGATGCCTATGCAAACTAGAAGCGCAGACAAAAAGTAGAGGCCAAAGGCAGGTTTCATTCCTGGATTTTTCAGTCATGTCCTTATCTACTTTTTCATGCACAATTATGAAAATATTAAAGCTTAAACATCATCTCCAACTTTGTGTCCATATGAGGTAAGGAGGTAAATAGGTAAGGTAAAGGTAAAGGCCCTCCCGTTGATCGTCGATTTTGCTCGAGCGGGCCCAGTAACGTCTCCATTGGAGACTTTGTTGTTACTGTGTCTGGCATATCGAATACTCTCGGCAGCTTGCCGGGCTCTCCGAGAGGGGCGGAGGAATCGAACTCGGGTCGGCCATGTTGGCCGCTTGTAAGGCGAACGCCCTACCCGCTGTGCTATCGCTCCAGCCCTAAGGAGGTAAATAAGAAGGTAAAAACAAAAATGAATAAAAAGAAGTTAAATGAGTATATAATCAAGATCACACTACATGGAAAAAAATTAAATATCCACTTCAAGGTAGAGAAGTGGGAGCTGTGCCCAGAAACCTGTGAATACTTATTTGGTTTGGGGCCAAACCCCGCTGTGTTCAGAGATCACTCTGGGAAGTGCTTAGTGGACAATTTTTAGCAGAATTCTTTCTTTTAACCATGTCAACTGGCATATTTAGTCTTCTTCAACTTGGATTCTTAAACCATGTGTTTCTGTTGGTCCTGGTGGTTTATTCTTTCATAAAGGCTAGGCCAAACTAATAATTAAGTAACTGAGATACTCTATATATAACTGCTATAATATCTTCCTCTATCATACATCTAAATTATTCATCTCTTAAGTCTCAGTTCAAATACCTTTTTTCCACCATCCCTGTTTATGTTCATGAAGATGAACTCTAAATAGCAATTTGTCTTTTCCTATTTATAATTTGTTTGAATACTAATGCATCCAATCCATCCTATCCTTGTGTCATTTTATACTGCCTGAGAGTTCATGGTTTCTGAGGCCAGGGAGGTAGCTCAGTGGGCACATATCTAGGGTTCAGGTCTTGAGTGAACCCAAATTTAAACCTCAGCATGACATGACTCCCATGAATTAAACTGTCAGGATCCATTAAATACACTGAGGAAAACATAGGTGAAACTGTCCAGAAATAGATCTCAGAAGTATATTCAGTGATTAACTTCATTGTAACTACACAAACTAAAAAGGTTTTGCCTGAGAAGAATGATTTTTCCTGGAAATTTGGGTTAAGAATATAGGTATGCAGACCAGAAAGAGTATGGTCTGAGAAGCATAAGTTTAGAATATCCTATGTGACTACTTGTCAAGTCTCTTAAACTCTAATTTCTTCAGGGCTAGGAAACAAAACTGTCTGATGTGCTCTCAGTCCTGGTTTCTGGTTATCTTCCTGGTATAAGAAACAGTATAACAGGTATCAATATAGACGACAGATATAAATGACTGCTGAGATTGTTACAATATGGCAAACAAATTGCATGGTCAATCTAATTATACGAGAAAGGCCTACCCTAGTAAGAATTAATAGATCTGATATCTTGTGCAAGACTTTTAATTTCATTGGTCAGTTACACACTAGTACCTTTCACAGCCGTTTCAACAACTTTTCCCAGGTTGGTGTTAGTACTTAGAAGTTAGATTCTAAGTACGATATCCCTTGGTGACAAATGTGGTAGAGTAGCATTTTATTCCTGAAACATTAATGGCACTTTAAATTAAGATGCATAAAATTCAAATATATGTGTATATATAGCAAATCAGATCTCTTAAGCACAGGTTTCGACTCTTCTTAGTAAGTTCCCCTCTCAGTATGGGTAACATTATTCAGTACTGGAATTCGATTTCCTATGTCCACACTGAGCACATTGAGAAGCTCCTAGATCAATTATTACACCAAGACCTCAAATGACACTTAATTTCATATGATATTTTTATGAGGAAAATACCAACCACTATAAAAAAAACTATGCTATTTTTGCTATTTACAGTGTTAAGGGTTTATCAGACTATGATCTGATCATAGCATAGAATGTTCAGCTATGAATTCAGTGCTTGAATAACGTAGAAAAAAACCCATGAAAAGGATGAAACAGTTACTTAATACCAGCATTATTAAACAGGAAAGAAATTCATTTTAACGTAACCTTTCACCTTTTTTTATATTTATCTTACAATTTAAGACCACTTACGATGTATCTCATAATGTAAGAGCACTTTGGTCTTACATTGACTTTATATCAGTCTTGAATGATTCCCTTCTTTTTACTTTTGTAATTCCACCCATCCTATCTAAATTTCTCAAAGACTATTGACAGTCTTGGTCCTAATTCCACTTTAATTTTAGAGTAAAACATATCAAAATCAAAATGCAGTTTTGTTTCTAATGAGAAGAACTCTTTGGGAAATGATTTCAACTTTAACCCTGAAAATAAATTTTCATAGAAAAGAAGACATGTGCTGAGTCTGACTTTGTATGCAACAATGGCCAGTGTGTTCCCAGCCGGTGGCAATGTGACGGCGACCCAGACTGTGAAGATGGTTCTGATGAAAGCCCTGAACAGTGCCGTGAGTGTGACTTGCTTTGGACTTGAAATTTTCCAATATTTGTAGCTCCAAGTATTCTTTACGATTCGCTGTTAGTTTTTCTTTGCCTCCCTTAAAGTTTAAGAAGATCAACTTTAAAGAATGGTTGATCATTCTCCTTTAAAGTATGTTTTTCCCCAGTCTAACAAGACTGAAATTCTCTTGGGCAGCTTCACTATTGAAAATTAAAGACTGAAGTCAGAGTTTTGATTAAGAACTCCTTGACTAGGTGCATAGATTTCAAATGTGTAATAATCATGAGCAGATGGTAATCTGGTCCTGGAAGCTAAGTCAACACAGAGGACCCCTCTGGGCCAAGTATAAGCTTTTGGTCCACTGCTTCTCATGCTATGAAAAATAAAAATATATTGGTGAAAAGGTAAGGTGTCTATTCATGGGGTGATAGAGTGAGTTTTAACACACAAACAGCCTAAAATTATCATTAAAGTAGGGAACTTTCTCATTAAAGAGAACATTTCACAGGACAAGTATTCTAGGATGGTATTTTTTTAAAAAAAGTCTATGAGCTGGTAGAAAAAGATGACTTGAAAGAGATCAATTATGATAATTTGAATGTCAAGATGAGAAAAGGCTTGGAGTTCATTTTGAGGCAGCAAAGTCTATCAAAGCACTGAAAGGAAAGGACTAACATTAATGAGGGTTTAGTTCCATAAAATGACTACAAAAGAAAATCAAGCAGAAAGAAAGATAAGTGTGTTAATTTCCATCTTCTAACAAGGAAGTGAAGAGAGTGATAAGAATACTGGCCAAGGCAGCTAAGCTACCACAGGGAAAGCCAAAGATTTACCCCCAGAGTTTTCATGGAGTTTTCATAGTAAAGAACTAGGGCATGTCATAACTTTTCGCAAGACATAAATCGAATTGAGTTTTATGAAGAAAGACTTTAACAGGAATCCAGGCAAAGGAAGACGTCAGAGCCATTAAACCATCCAGTAGATAAGTAATGGTCAAGGAGCAGGCCAGCTAATAAATCTGGCCACACCAAGTCAAACAATAGCTAGTACGGAGCATGCTGAGGAACCCCGAAGGAGAGACCTGGTAAGCGCTCCTTCAGTCGTGGGTCCAAGCCAGGTAGCGTAGTTTGGCCTGGCTTCAAAGGAGCTGGCAAAGGATCTGCCCCCGGCTCCAATCAGAAAGTCCAGTCTCACCCGTGAGCCAGGCCACTGAGGTTCATGTGTAAGCTTCAGGCAGCACAGAGCTGCAGCTTTGCCCTGATGAGTTTGAAGGCTCTTTTGAGACTGTATGTCATCAACAGATATGAGAACATGCCGCCTAAATGAACTCAGCTGTGGCGCCAGTTCTACTCAGTGTATCCCAGTATCCTGGAGATGTGATGGTGAAAATGATTGTGACAGTGGAGAAGATGAAGAAAACTGTGGTAAGAAGATGAGTGGCTGAGTGGCTTATCCCAAAGGCCCTTGTCCTCAAAGAAGGGTGGGCAGGGGAAGCTAACTTAAGCGTGAAGATGGCAGTTACATCGACTTACTTTTCAGTGACTTCACTATCTGCTCAGCTACTTGTCCTCCCCAATTGCCCTCAAACTCTGAAAAGTTCACATGGTAGTTGACCGTTGCTTGTTTTGGTGTTTCTTCTAGGCAAATAGAAATCAGGTAAGTTGCTCCCGACATGAGGATTTAAAGGCTCAAGTGAAGCTTTTGGCCCTTTTTAAGACTGCAATCCAGCCGCCTTCCTCACTTGAGCTCAGTGACACTGGAAAGAGGTGACAGCCAGCAAGCACTTTAGGTCCAAACCAGAATTGCTGGTTGGAAGAACTTGAGCATTACAATGACGTTTCTCCAAGTTTTAACCTTTGTAAAAGTTGAACTGGAGAGAAATATAAATTAGCAACTTGCTCAGAGATCCAGAAAGAAAACTCTACCCAACCGGTGGTACCCTTGCCTTCTACCACAGTTCTTACCTGTAAAAACTGTTTTCTGTTCTCTCATGTGATTCTTCTTGGCAAATATTCTTCTCATAAAATGCTACATGTTAAAGGTGAGGCCCTGGGAAATTCTCGAGATTATACAAACATTGCTCTGACCACTCTTTCAAGCTATCGCCCATTTTGTAGGGCTCTCAATCTCCAGTTTCCAAGCGTGGCCTCCTGATGCAGTAGAAAACAAATGAGCTAAAGGCCTTTGCAGTTGAAACACCAATCTTGTATGCCGAAGTCATCTCCTAAGGTCAATTCTGCTGCACCTAGTCCAATGAGTTTTGGTATTCAATCTAGAAAAAAAATCCTAGAATTGAGCTTTTATGTATTGGTAAGCCCTGAAGCTGCCAAGTACTAACCTCTTGATTCTTTGCTTCCCAAGAGAGTTGTGGTCTCTACTCTAATTATCACCAAATTGTGACTTTAATTTGTGCAACAGGAATTTGAGTCCAAGTACAAACAGACTAGTCTGACTGGCTTATCATTATTAGCATACCTGGCTGTTAGATTGCTATTCAAGCCTTACCTGTGACTTTCTAAAACTTCGGTGTTGGAAACCTGTTATTCCTGACCCTCATTCGAAAGTTCAATAGAGAAGAAAGTATGAGTGATGGTATAACAAGTGGCTTCCGTTCTTGTGATCTTGTCATGGTACTTGTCATGAATGTATGTTAGCCTCTATTGCTAATGTCTAATAGTCTCAGCTAGTAATATTTGGCCTAGTCTGATGAATTGTTTGGCCATTTAAAGATAATTTGGTTTCTACCTTCCAAAATGAATTCATAGTGATTAAGTAATTGATCACTGTCCCTTCAAGCGTTGACTGTTATTCTCATCTCTAATTAATTTTGCATCTTCAACTAATTTTCAATCCTTTATTTCTATTCATATTCAGCTGTCCCTCTTTTTTTTTCTTTTCTTTGTTAAACACGGTAAGACTGTCTCTAGTATCCCAGGAACTTGGATGTCTCTCTGATTTTACTTTAGCTCCTAAGTAGAATTTTAAAGATTCATGGTCAAAAGGTGGCATAAGGGATTTAGGGCTTAGAAGTCTCTGAGTGGCACATCCTCTTTCTCAATAGGCAATATAACATGCAGTGCGGATGAGTTCACATGCTCCAGTGGCCGCTGCATCTCCAGGAACTTTGTATGCAATGGCCAAGATGACTGTAGCGACGGAAGTGATGAGCTTGACTGTGCCCCACCCACCTGTGGAGCCCATGAATTCCAGTGCAGCACCTCCACCACCTTCTGCATCCCCCTCAGCTGGGTGTGTGATAATGACGTCGACTGCTCAGACCTGTCAGACGAGACCCTGGAAGAGTGTGGCCGCCAGCTCGTGATGCACACAAAGTGCCCAGCCAGCGAGATCCAGTGCGGCTCTGGCGAGTGCATCCACAAGAAGTGGCGATGTGATGGTGATCCTGACTGCAAGGATGGCAGCGACGAGGTCAACTGTCGTAAGTAGCTTTCTATCACAATCGCACCTCTGTTCCTGGTACAGTTGCCGTGGACCAAGAGGGAACCATTTGGCCCACATCATACAGTGGTAATCCCTTCCTCGTAGCTTCTCGAACCTGCCGACCTGACCAGTTCGAGTGTGAGGATGGTAGTTGCATCCATGGCAGCCGGCAGTGTAATGGCATCCGAGATTGTGTGGATGGATCCGATGAAGTCAACTGCAAAAACGGTAAGGGCCTCTTCTTGTGAGTCCCAGAAAGGGCTGCTCGGATCAAACCCACTCATGGAATCCCTCTTCTGTTTCCCTTTATAGTTAATCAGTGCCTAGGCCCTGGAAAATTCAAGTGCAGAAGTGGGGAATGTATTGATAGCAGCAAAGTGTGTAACCAGGAGCAGGACTGCAGGGACTGGAGTGACGAGCCCCTGAAAGAATGTCGTAAGTGAGGGGGGTTGCTGGAGTACAGATCTGGGAAGGTTAATTGGATTCAGAACAGGTTATGCTTTTGGAATCCTGCATAATGCCCAGTTAAGCTGCCGTTAATAAATTAAGTTCAGCTGACGGTGTGAGGAGTGAAATTTAAAAGTGATCATTTAAAAGCCCAGGCAGTGACAAAATACTGCGTAGAGTTGCCTGAACCAGAGATACTTGCCAAGAATATAGAGTTTATTTTCCCCCTGTGGACTCTGAAATCCCTTACTTTAAAGAACAACAACAAACACCAGATTAAATTTTCTTTATGCACGGATCTGACCAGACTAATGATAGATCAGTTGTCACAAATAGCTAAGAAGTTTAAGGAGAAAAATATTTTTTTATGGACTAAACACCAACTTGGATGAATTATGAAGTAACTCAATACATTTTATTTCAGATGTAAATGAATGCTTGGTTAATAATGGTGGATGTTCCCACATCTGTAAAGACCTCGTTATAGGTTATGAATGTGATTGTGCAGCTGGGTTTGAACTGATCGATAGAAAAACCTGTGGAGGTGAGTTCAAGATGAGAATCTAACTCCTGCAGGGGATGGGTAAGGGTGGTTTGTCTCCAGTGTGAGGAACAGACAGACTAACTCTCAACTCCCTTCTAGATATTGATGAATGCCAAAACCCAGGAATCTGCAGTCAAATTTGCATCAACTTAAAAGGCGGTTACAAGTGTGAATGTAGTCGTGGCTATCAAATGGATCTCGCCACTGGTGTGTGCAAGGCAGTAGGTAAATGGACTTGATATTTGGGCCCAGCTGTGCTTAGGGGCCACTAAGGCTGTACCAATGGCACTGGGGTCGGCAAATGGACTTCTATTGGTATCGCTCTGGTACTTTTGAGTTCACCTGCTTCTCAAAGGTGCAGCCAGTGACTCCAGTAGATTACACATGGAATTAAAATGGCAAATCATTCATTTGGACACTTGTCTTGACTGTTCTTTTGGCATATGACCCCATCATATCAACCAGGTTTTCTTACTCTCTGTTTCTAATGACTTGAGAGAAATTCAAGTAAGTCACTTGTTTATCAGCTACCCTATTGTTGGATACTATGACAACCACCATCCCCTCCCAATCTGCCTCCACATCCACACACACACACACACACACACACACACACACACACACACCACTGCCTACTTAACACTGGAAAGCACTTGCAAGTCCCAGGGCATGTATTCTGGCAAGATTATTTGAGAAAGTACTGCAGCAGTGCCTTCACTTTTAAATGCTACTCTGTTGGGTGGAAGAGTTTTAAACAGACTCTGCGGGCTGGAGAGATAGCACAGCGGGTAGGGCACTTGCCTTGCACGCAGCCGACCCGGGTTCGATTCCCAGCATCCCATATGGTCCCCTGAGCACCGCCAGGAGTAACTCCTGAGTGCAGAGCCAGGAGTAACCCCTGTGCATCGCCAGGTGTGACCCCAAAAAAGCAAAATAAATAAATAAATAGACTTGGCCTTATTTCAGTGAACCCAAAACCTGGACTTCTGTCTTGCAGGCAAAGAGCCAAGTCTGATCTTTACCAATCGAAGGGATATCAGGAAGATTGGCTTAGAGAGGAAAGAATATATCCAACTAGTTGAACAGCTAAGAAACACTGTGGCCCTGGATGCAGACATTGCTGCTCAGAAACTGTTCTGGGCTGATCTAAGCCAAAAGGCCATCTTCAGGTAACTTTCAGTTGCATTCTGACATGGGGCAATTTGGAGGGATCTCTCTCGTCCAACCTAAGATTTAATTAGTTGGTGGTAGTCAACCTAAGCTCTGGCTCTTAAAGCTTAAATTATCAGCACTTCCTAATTAGAAACTAGCAATTATCTCTGAAGAGGGCTATAGTTAGAAAGATATTCATTTCTTCCATTCTCTCCCTCTTTACATTTATCTGAAAGTAGTGGATAGTCACTGCTGATAGAAATGGTGGTAACAGTTTTTTTTAGATAGTGGAAAACTTAGTGAAACAAATTACTGGAAAGTATGTTGTTCTTACACACATAGAATAGATATCAGCAACTAGAAAACCAACATTATTTAGTGTCAGCAGCATGGCTTAAATCATGAGTTTGGAGCTATGGTTTTTATTAGAGTTCCTTCTAAATGAAACTGTTGACCATTTTGCAAGCACAAGTCCATTCATAGGCTTTGATGGTGTCAAACTCTTAAATTTCTTGTGGCCTATTCTGTTGCAGTGCCTCAATTGATGACAAGGTTGGTAGACATGTTAAAATGATCGACAATGTCTATAATCCTGCAGCCATTGCTGTTGATTGGGTGTACAAGACCATCTACTGGACTGATGCGGCTTCTAAGACTATTTCAGTAGCTACCCTAGATGGAACCAAGAGGAAGCGTCTGTTTAACTCTGACTTGCGAGAGCCTGCCTCCATAGCTGTGGACCCGTTGTCTGGGTTTGTATTCTCTTTCTTCATTGCCTAGCCTTTTAGCTGCTGTATGCGGTAGTGTTGAAAGCCCACAGTAAACAATGATCTGGGACGCGACAAGCTGTTGGTGTTGTTATGGTTAAGCATCTTAGGATGGTCTCATCTAGATTGCGCCCCAGCCCCAACCCCTGAGTAGTGTGACTGCTGACGCCATCACAGTAATGAAACCTTTCAGATCGGAGGTATGCTGTATCTGAACCCTGTGATCACCCAGCTTCAACCAAAGTCGAATTTCATTCCTTGCTGCCCATTCTACCAGGTTAATTCTGGATGATCAGATCTAAGAAGTGGCAGAAATTGTAGGGTGTTGGGCGATCACATCATTAAGGCTTTTTTATCTGAAAGTTCTAAGTCTCTGAAAATCCAATTAAAATAGATAGGGCTCTACGAGAACGTGTTTCAGAGAGGTGTCCCTCAATTTCCACTCAAGCTGCTTAGGAAGTGGACTAAGCCTGTAGAAACCTCAGTACACTCCCAGGAAGCCTCATTAAGAGCATCCTCAGCCAGCCCTTAATACAGAACTCAACAGATACTCATCTTTCGCTCTGCGAAAAGACTTGGCCTTTCATAACAAGTATATAACCTGTGTTTCCGAGCTGAAATTGAAATGTCAGACTTATGTAAATTAATATGGTTAATAAGCCCTGAAATTCTTAATGTTAACTTTTGTTTACTGAGAACATAATTTAGAACTAAGTATTACAGTTTGTTTTCGAGAAGCCAATCCCTAGAATTTTCTACTGATCCATTTAACATTTGTGTCAAGCTACAACTTTATTCCTCTTAAGCATCTATGACTTATTTCGTCCTAGCTTTGTTTACTGGTCAGACTGGGGTGAACCAGCAAAAATAGAGAAAGCAGGAATGAATGGATTTGATAGACGGTCACTGGTGACAGTGGATATCCAATGGCCCAATGGCATTACACTAGGTATGTGTCTGTTTCCTTCATGAGTTGAGCTATCTTTACAGTATTAACTCCTCTCCATACTTAATTCTGGACTTTCAGCTGTTGACGTTAACGATTGCTTCTAGAATCGAAGTACTGGATGAGAATAAGCAGGTTAAGTAGAATGAGAGACTTAACTGATGACAGGCTCATACTTATTAGCTTTTCTGTCCATTTGGACCTGATATGTGACACAAATTCAGTGTCCCCACCCCCAAGGATCTGTCATCTTAAATATCCTGACATAGCATTTCCTAAATTGAGTTTTCTTTTGCCTTGCTTTTATTTGCTTTGCCTCCAAGGTGTTTTTGTTTCTGTTTTGCCTTGCCTGGGAGCACTACCAAATGCTACTCTCTTTGTGACTTCTATAATTTGGATGACGTATTTAAAGTCAGTTAATTCAATAAATGAGGCACTCCTTGAATCCTCTGCATGACGTGAGGCATACTGCTGAACGTTAGTGGCACCCACTTGCTGGAGAAAGACTGTGAAAGTAGAAAATGGAGTTCTTTAGCTATTGTTGTCAGAGGCTAGTGTTATACTAACCTATCATGCACTGTCCACTGTCCTCGCGTTGTTCATTGATTTGCTTGAGTGGGCCCAGTAACTTCTCCATTGTGAGACTTGTTGTTACTGAGTTTGTCATATCGAATACATCACAGGTAGCTTGCCAGGCTTTGCCATGCGGGCGAGATACTCTCGGTAGCTTGCCAGGCTCTCAAAGAAAGGCAGAGGAATTGAACCCTGGCAGGCCGGGTCAGCTGCATGCAAGGCAAACACCCAACCCACTTTGTTATCGCTCCAGCCCACTAACCTATCATACAATGATTTTTTTTTCCCCATCTAGACTTAATAAAGAGCCGTCTCTACTGGCTTGATTCCAAGTTGCACATGTTATCCAGTGTGGACTTGAATGGCCAAGATCGCAGGATAGTACTAAAGTCTCTGGAGTTTCTGGCTCATCCTCTCGCACTAACAATATTTGAGGTAAATCCTTGCCCCACGCCTCAGTGTACCTTTGAGTTACTGTAGCACCACAGAGAGAAAAGGCAACAGGAGGAGGGGTGGGCAGAGGCGCATGACTTGAATTAGATCCCCCAAAACCTAGGACAGTAGAAATGGATTCCTTTTAACCCTAACACTTTGAGAAAGCTGAACTTGTTTCTTTTGAACGTACAGCTGATGTCCCAGATCAGCATTAGATATAGTTCATTAAACTGCCAGTGACCTGAAATAGTGACATGTTAATTCTTTATTTTTGTACTAATTTGGGGGTTACGTTTTAGGACCGTGTCTTCTGGATAGATGGGGAAAATGAAGCTGTCTATAGTGCCAATAAATTCACAGGATCAGAACTGGCCACGCTAGTCAACAACCTTAATGATGCCCAAGACATTATTGTCTACCATGAGCTCGTACAGCCATCAGGTAATGTGGGAAAGCAAAACCTTCAATAATCATGTCACAGAACCTGCCAGGGAGCAGACGCTCTTTTGGAAAACAACTTGCTGCAAAAGGGGCCCTTTCGTACCTGTCCCTTAACGTCTAATTGTAAATATGACAAACACTTTGAGCCTATTGTTTGAAACTATTCGGTATATTTCTGATTTTCTAGTGAGTTTCCAACCTTCATTCTTCTTTATCCTCAGTGTTCAATCTTTTATTTCAGTCTTTCTTATCTCCTTGCTCTTCATTCCAAGAGTACTGCACTGGCCATAAATGTACTATTTTTATGCCATAAACGTGCTCAGCTTTTCTTTTTCCTTTTGTTTTATCTTATATTACTGTCACTGTCCTCCCGTTGTTCGTCGATTTGCTTGAGCGGGCCCAGTAACATCTCCATTGGAGACTTTGTTGTTACTGTGTTTGGCATATCGAATACGTCACGGGGAGCTTGCCAGGCTCTGCCGTGATATCTTATATATTGATTGCCTAATCCTCAGACCATTTGATCATATTGGCTCTTGATCAAAACACTTGACTCATTCTGTCGAAATAAATGCCCTCACAATACTCTCTAGCTGGATTTCTTCCACTTGGTGGGACCAAGGAAATACAGAAATGAGGAGAGCATATAACTCCTTCCTGTGAACCTTCAGGGACCAACAGTGGGTGCCAAACTTGGCACTTCTCCTTTCACCCACACTCTTGCCACCCATCTGTTTATGGCAGAACTTATATTTCACTTGCAAGAAATTTGCCAAGAGGGCGATGGCTGTGTGCTGTTCTTTGAGTCACTGCCTCTACCCTGATGTTTACTCTTCACTGGTATTGGTTCCACTTTGACGACGAGTTTTGTTTCCTTGAGGTCCTTTAATGATATCCGGAGCATTTAGGGTAATAGAGCTTTCTGTATACCAGACGCTTGGATGCTTGTGTTAAGGAACTTTTGCTTCTGATTAGGCAAAAATTGGTGTGAAGAAGACATGGCGAATGGAGGATGTGAATACTTATGCCTGCCAGCACCACAAATCAACGATCACTCTCCTAAATATACCTGTTCCTGTCCCAATGGGTACAATCTAGAAGAAAATGGCCAGGGATGTCAAAGTAAGCCTTTATCCTTATCAACCACAAGCAGATTGTGTGTGTGCAATAAGGAAGAGAGCAAGATGCTCACAACAAAAAATGATCGAAACTTTAGGAATTCTCTTTGGACTCCTAGATTTAAGAGCATTCCTGCTAATATTTCATGTTATTATTTCAGTATCTCAAGGATTCAAGTTATTATTTCAGTACTTTCCATTCATTTCAGTGTATGTTAAGTCTCTATTAAAATAATCAGTTTTTAAATCGCCAGGGTACTTATAATGACTTATGCCATTTTGCCCCATAACAGCTCTGAGCTAGCCAACTTGTAGAACATTAAGCACAGTCTTAATATTCTTTCTCAAAAGGAGAGGCATGAAATTCTACTTACAGAACACCTCCTGGTCCAGCGGGTGATACTATCCTAAACAGTTAAACCAAACTTGTGTTTTACTTTTCTGTTGTAAAACTTTTGGTTGTCAGATTAAACTTGCATATTGAGAGCAAAGAACTCATCATGAATTTTTTATTAACTTAATATGGGGTCACAATGGGTACTAGCCCAGTTTACTGAAAAAACAGTTGAGAACAGTGTGGTAGGAAGATGAGTGTGACTGGTAATAAGGTTTTAGAGAGCATTTCTTGTAACTCCCAGGAGTCTGGGGCATTTTTTCAAGGGGTCACGACGATCACGACGACCATCCTTTTATTCATCGATTGCCTTGAGCAGGCCCCAGTAACGTCTCCTTCGTCCTAGACCTGATATTTTTTAAAAAGTGCCATATTCAAGGCTCTTTCAGAGTTAGGAGAATGAGACCCATCATTGTTACTGGTATTTGGCATATTGGGTACGCCACGGGGAGTTTGCCAGACTCTGCCGTGTGGGCAGGTTACATTCGGTAACCTGCCAGTTTGTCCAAAGTAGGACAACTTTGGACAAGGGGTCATTAGAGTAAATATATATCTTCTTGAATTGTCAAGTTCTATATCCTGAAGCTTCCTCTCAGAGCCTCCTATGTTTCTGGTTTTGACTGAGGACTGCTGCTTTTCTGTTTTGACATATTTACCATGGAAGATGGTTCAGCAGTGTCTCCCGTGGTTTTTTGTCCAAAAACAAAACAAAACAACAACAACAACAACAACTAGCACATGGCTTGTCTGAAGTTAGCAGCCACCCAAGTACCTTGGCATTAACCAGGTTCTTGGTTTTTATAATTTAGGTACTGCAACTACTGTGACTTACAGTGAAACAAAAGATACCAACACAACAGAAATTTCACCAACTAGTGGAATAGTTCCTGGAGGTATTGGGTTCAGTATTGCAAACCGTTAATCCTAACTAACAGTCACAGTCTGTGTTGCTTCTATTACATTAAATTAATTCAGCCTTTAACTACTAGTTGTGCCCCTGTTTTGGTAACCGACATTTAAACACCAAGTACTTATAACTTGCAAATCTCAGCCTGACCTGATTTACTCAGGTTCTGTTGGAGAACCATTAATGAAATAGCTATTACAGCATGTGATTTGAATACTAGACCAGTTTTTCTTGGTATATATTTAGTCAGTACGGAACATGAATGGTGAACACAAGGATCTGAGTGTCTACATGATGGGCCAATTTCTAATTCTGAATTCCTATTCTTTTCTAAGCTAAATACTTTTGTTCCCTGTAGAGATCAATGTGACCACAGCAGTATCAGAGGTCAGTGTCCCCCCCAAAGGGACGTCTGCAGCCTGGGCCATCCTTCCCCTCTGTAAGTAGATTTTTATCTGGACTCAATGAAGCTTTTTTTTTTTTTAATTTTAGTGAAACACCATGAGGTACAGTTGTAGACTTACAAATTTTTGTGCTTGGGTTTCCACTGTACAATGATTGAGTACCCATCCCTCCACCAGTGCCCATTTTCCACCACCACAGGTCCCAGTATCCCACCCTGCCTCTGTCACATGGTACTCCCTTTTGTTCTCTCTCTCCTTTTGGGTGCTGTGGCCTGCAAAAGAGGCATCGAGTGGAGTGGCAACATGTTCGGTCTAGAGTCTAGTCTCAGCATGTTTCTCCCTTCCTGGGGGGATCCTTCCAAGACCCCCCATTTGGTGCTCCCTTCTACATCTGGGCTGCCTTTACCCCTAAAGTGTGAAGCTGGCCTCCAAGCCATGGAGTAAACTTCCTGGTTTTTAATCTCTGCCATTCTTGGGTGTTAGTCTCCTATTTTGTTACTTTAGGTTCCCCAGATGAATGCAATCTTTCTATGTCTGTCCCTCTCTTTCTGACTCATTTCGGTTAGCGTGATACTTTCCATGTAGCACCACTTGTATGTATATTGCATGACTTCAATGAAGCTTTTTGATACGAGATTCCTACCTCATCTACAGAGTCCCTTTATACCACCCTAGCTTAAGTGGCACTGAATGACTTTTGCCCTGCACCCACCTTGCCAGTCCCTAACATAATGAGTTGTATTTCTTGCTTTCTACTTTAAATTTGTGTTCTTAGCTTACTTCCTTTCACATTGAGTCCCTTTAAGATAAAGTAGTGTTTTATTACTCTTTGAAATAGAGAATGTACAAGCACATACATGATTATACTATTTTAGAGTTGGGGCTTTGTAGAAGCTAAATTAAGAATTGTGGTTTGTTTTTTTAAAATTTTATGTTTTAAATGGAATCACAGTGAGATGCACCATGATAAAGTCGTTCATGATTGGCTTTCAGTCATATAATGTTCCGGTACTCGTTCCTTCACCAGTGTACATTTCCCACTACCAAGAATTGTTTTTTGAATTTGATTGTATTAAGGAACTGTGATTTACAAGGCTGTTGATAGTTGAGTCTTAGGCATCTAATATTTCATCATCAGTTCCACCACCGGTATCAACTTCCTTTCATCAGATTTCCCTTATTCCATCCCAACCCCAACCTCACTTTTCAACTCGACAAATTACAGAGTTCCAGTGGTTGCAGCTTAGATCTCATATTCTCAGTTTTGTTGAATCTGTGTTTTGGATATGTGACTGTAGCACTCATCTGTATAGCCAGGATAAATGAAGCCCTGACCCCTGTTCACCCATTACTTCCTATTTTCTTCTTCTCATCCCCCTCTCAATATTGTTCCTTCTCTGACCTCCTGTCTAACCATTTGGGTTCACGAGTGATCTAGGTATCCTGCACTACAATACATTTCTTCATCCAGTATTCTATATACCACAGATACATGAAATTGTCATGTGTTCGTCTTTCTTCTCCTAGCTTACTTGATGCAACATGATAAATTCACAACTGTTAAGAATATGCAAACCCCTCTTTACAATAGCCAGAATCTGGAAAAAACCTGAGTGCCCGAGAACAAATGACTGGTTAAAGAAACTTTGGTACATCTACACAGTGGAGTACTATGTAGCTGTTAGAAAAGACAAAGTCACGAAATTCACATACAAGTGGTACTACATGGAAAGTATCCTGTTAAGCGAAATGACTCAGAAAGAGAGGGATAGACATAGAAAGATTGCATTCATCTGGGGAACATAAAGTAACAAAAATAGGAGACTAACACCCAGGAGTGGCCGAGATTAGTACCAGGAATTTTGCTCCATGGCTTGGAGGCCAGCCGCACGTGCTAGGGGAAAAGGAAGCTCAGATAGAGAAGGGAGCACCAAATAAAGGGTATGGGGAGGATCCTCCCAGGATGAGAGAAGCATGCTGAAAGTAGACTATAGACCAAACATGATTGCCACTCAATGTTTCTTTTGCAAACCACAACACCCAAAAGGAGAGAGAACAGAGGGGAATGCCCTGCCACAGAGACAGGAGGGGATGGGGGGTGGGAGGGATACTGGTATCCGTGGTGGTGGGAAATGGGAACTGGTGGAGGGATGTGTGTTTGATCATTGTATAATTGAAACCCAAGCACAAAAATGTGTAAGTCTGCAACTGTACCTCATGATGTCTATTAAAAAAATTTTTAATAAAAAAAAAAAAGAATGTGCAAACCCAGGAAAAAGAACTTTAAAACTAGTTGTGGGAGATTCCAAAGCACCTTGTTTTAAAGGCCTTTTTGTCCTAAATTACTGGCTTCCAAGCTTGAATAACAGCCTAAGAACACTTGAACTCTCCAGAAGCTTTTGCAATCCAGTTGGTTTAAAGAGGGTCTCTGCAGTCTACACTTGATCAGATGAATACATCTAGCTTAATACCGGTGCTTGGGAAAACATTTGACTGCTGAACTGTGTTAAAGACTTAAAAAATCTCCGGGTCCATTTATAATCTAAATGTGAATTATCCTGACTTCATAAATAATTATACTCCTGTCAGTTATCAAGGATTATTAAACATATTCTTCTCTGTTTGTTTTGAGATTAGATCATACTTAGTCATCCTATCACTTCTTTCAGTGCTTTTGGCAATGGCAGCAGTGGGAGGCTACCTGATGTGGCGGAATTGGCAACATAAAAATATGAAAAGCATGAACTTTGACAATCCTGTCTACTTGAAGACCACAGAAGAGGACCTATCAATAGACATTGGTAGACACAGCGCTTCTGTTGGACACACCTACCCAGCAGTAAGTTGGCTTTGTGTCTTGACATACCATGACTTCCTGTAGAATTTTCTCAAAAGAGGATTTTTATCTCATGCTGTGTCTTCCTGAGCAGGCTTAGGAACTTGAGGCTAGAAAATATTTAATCTACTGTTTGGGAATTCGGTAGTCTAAGATCAGATCTAAGGATCTGATTTTTTTAGAATGACAATATTATTTGAGATATTTTTGGTTACTGGAACAACATATAAATCAATATTGAACCATTAAATCAATTGCCTGCTTAGTACTTAACAAGTTAGCTTCTTGTGTCTAGTGAAGTTGGCTTCAAGTCATCGTATTCATATAACCCAAATTACCAGAAGCATATTATTATTATTATTATTATATACCAAAAGTATAAAAGTACCTTGTCCTACCTAGTCCAGTTAATTTCTCTCTCGGTGGTAGGGTCAGTCACTTATTCTTTAGTTGAAAAACAAATGGGGTATTTGTCCTTAGGGAGCAGTTGGTGGAACAACACAGATGTCAAAGTTTTCTCTCAAGCTCCCTGATAAAACAAATAACTAGAGCCAATTCATTATAACAGTATTTTTTCACTTTTTTTTCTACTGGGGCTTAAGATGATTAACTAGTACTGGCAGAATCAGTCAGGCTAGTTTTTCTCTCTACCATGTAGAGTAGAATTCAAGTTACAAGTCACTAGTGGTACAATTTAGTGCCATTTTGGGTCTGACTTCACCTTTTGTGGGGGGTTTCTAAACCATTAACTCCCAAGCAAAGATGAATTTTAGAAACTGGAGTTGCCGCCAGTGAGTTATCACCAAGTTCATCCCATTTTTTCTTTCCCACAGATATCAGTTGTAAGCACAGATGATGATCTAGCTTGACTTCTGAAACAAGTCTTGACCTTTGAGGTCTAAAACCAATATCCCACTTCGGAATGGTAACCAAGCCAGCAGCTGAAGTCTCTTGCTTCATCCAGCCTAGAAGAACATCAAGATATCTCTGTGGATCAAGCTTGACACATATATATATATATATACATATATATATATAAACTTTTGTAAATATCCCGTCTATATTCTACTTCAGCTTTGGATGTGGTTACCAAATATCTGTAAACCTTGAATTTCTAGACAGTATTGCCACCTCTGGCCAAATATGCACTTTCCCTAGAAAGCCATATTCCAGCAATGAAACTTGTTCTATAATGTGTACCAGCTGTACATACAATGTATAGGCCACCTGTAAATATCCCAGAGAACAATCACTATTCTTAAGCACTTTGAAAATATTTCTATGTAAATTATTGTAAACTTTTTCAATGGTTGGGACAATGGCAATAGGATAAAACGGGTTACTAAGATGAAATTGCCAAAAAAAAAATTTCTTAACTAATTTTGTACGTATGAATGAAATCTTTGACCTCTGTGGAGGTTTACAAAGACTGAGTGTTCAAACTATTGTACATTTTTTTTCAAGTGCTAAAAAAATTAAATCAAGCAGCTTAACCATGGTTTGTGCCTATTCCTCCAGGATAAACTCCTATAAAATAGTTTAGCAATGTTGTGTTCCAACTAAATGTGTGAACTCTAGGTCTTGATGTTGTATAACCAATGCTATAATTTGGCTTATTTCTCTAATAATCAAGTACTAATATATTGAATTCTTTTCTTCCCAGCTGTTTTTCATAAAAGAACCCAGCTTAGCATATCTTAAATACCTCTGACTTAAAGGGAAAATCCTTTTCTCATTAATATCCTAAGATTTCTATCAATTGTTCTTCATACTCATCTGTTTTCTATGCTCTGTCATTTCACATAGCCAAGTGCCTTCTAGGCATGCAAAAGAAATTTCTTGTTTTTAATGTCAAGATAGTCTACTATCAAGAGGTCTAGGTCTAGGGAAGCATCACAACTAGTGTCAATCCTGAACAATCTCAATCACTGGGTTCTCTGTGTGGTCTTAAGACCACAGCATCTATATCACCTAAGAACTAATTAGAACTGCAAATTCTCAGGTCCGTTTTCCACACCTGCTAAATCAGATTCTAGGGGTGGTATCCCAGAGTGTGTGTTTTTACAATGCTTCAGGGGATTCTGTTATAAATTAAAGTTTAAGAACCATTATTCTAATATGACTTCATGGGGAATGCATGCTAGCTCCTAAGTTTTCAGTCTGGCTGACAGAGAAAGTTCTATGGACAATTACAGTAGCATTTAGTGTGAACAGTATATAAGAAGTGTGGATAGAAGGAAAAGCAGGGCAGGATAGTTATGGGAGTGTTTAGTGAAAAGGATATATGAAGTGTGGATAGGAGAAAAAGCAGTGCAGGCCTGTTTTCCATCAGATTGGCATAACTTATTTTCTCTAAAGTCTCAGGATAGCAAGGAAACATACAGGATTTAGGAGGAGGGAGGATCTGAAGTGCACAGGGTGGAGTGAAGCTCACTGAGGAAGATGAGATTCCTTCAGGGATTAATTGACCATTTCAGGAACAAAAGAATGAAGAGAAGGAGCCAAAGAGATAGTACAGGATGCTTGCCTTGTATGCAGACAACCAGGGTTCGATCCCCAACATCTCATGAGGTTCTCTGAGCACCGCAATGAGTAATTCCTGAATGCTGAGCCAGGAGTAATCCCTGAGCCTCACTAGATGGGTTACCCCAAAACAAAGACAAGAAGAAAAGATGTTTTGAGTAGCTAACTGGGCCCATGAGTGACTCATATTTCACTTGCATATGATTTATGAGGCAGCTGACATCATGCTTAAGAAAGGAAACCAGGGGGCTGGAGCGATAGCACAGCGGGTAGGGCATTTTCCTTGCACGTGGACGACCCAGGTTCGATCCCCGGCATCCCATATGGTCCCCTGAGCACCACCAGGAGTAATTTCTGAGTGCAAAGCCAGGAATAACCACTGAGCATCGCAGGGTGTGACCCAAAAAGCAAAAAAAATAAAAAGGAAATAATCATGACATTGCTTCTGTCATCTTGGTTTTGTTCAAATAGAAGAAAGTGAATAGATAGGTGTGGACCTTTTTCTTTTTTATGGTAGGTGTGAAGGTCAAGTAGAAGGAAAAAGGCTTAGTCATGGAAATAAGGAGCTCTGCTTTCCATCTGTTGCTTACTCTACAAATAGTTACCACACTAAACAAGATGAGGCCTGCTGACATGGGGTGGTTGGAGTGGATATTTGATATGTAGGTTGGTATTCACCAAACCTGGAAGGATATTTGACTGGTATTTTGGAATGCTACCAAATGCTAGAAGATTTCCTCCTAGGAAGCTCAAAGATATCAATATTTCCTCCATTACAAGGGGTACACACTATTACTTACAAGGTTCAAAGCCACAATTTTAGAGAACAAAATGAAGTATTATTCTCCTTCTTCTTTTAGGTTCCTTTCCTTGATACTTTCTTTCTGATTTTAGTCCAAGTCCAATTTTTGTAGTGTACAAAGCATCTCAGTCTTTTGCTTTTCTCAGTAACTAGTCATGACAAAAACTCAAATTTAATCTGGCACAAACTCACTTGAAGCAATAAACTAAATATAGCTATTGAAATTAAAAGTCAATTCAGCACATACTATATAGTTCATGCAGGATTTTTTAAGTGAGTTTTTCAAACTAGTAAGCAAGAATTAGTCTCATGTGTCTACTAGGTCCCTTAAAAACATCCTTACAGGGGCTGGAGTGATAGCACAGCAGATAGGGCGTTTGCCTTGCACGCGGCCTGACCCGGGTTCGATTCCCAGCATCCCATATGGTCCCCCAAGCATGGACAGGAGTAATTCCTGAGTTCATGTACCAGGAGTAACCCCTGTGAATCACCGGGTGTGACCCAAAAACCAAAAAACAAATACATAAATAAAAAGATCTTTACAGCTACTTTACAACCTTGGTATTATTTATAACCTATGGCTGTCTAATCTTTTGGTGTTTTGCATTTTTGTTTTGTGGTCACAACCTGCACTTCTCATGGCTTACTCCTGGCTTTGTACCCAGAACTACTCCTGGCTGTGCTCAGGGACTGTCTGGGATGCTGGGGATAGAGCCGGTTGGCCATGTACAAGCCAAACACCCTACCTGCTATACTATGTTGCTCCAGCCCAGTGGCTTTTTATTCTTGATGAACCCACAACCTAAATAAAAACAAAATAACTGAGGTTTCAACTTTTATATTTGCTTCTATGCTTTATATCTGTGTTAATCTCTTAGCCACTCTTAAAGATGAAACGTATTATTATTATTCCCTTGGATTCCCTTATACTTAAGTTAGTCTCAACTATGGGAGTGAAAGTATTATATAGCAACTGTAAAGACCATTTTATGAGAGAGGGGAAAAAAAGAAGCAGGACTATATGGTATTTAAAGAACTTCAATTTAGAACTTTTAGAAATGAAGCAGAGGGTGTGACTCCGCTGTAAAATATTTTTTTGCATGTGTTAGGCCCTGAATTTGGTCCCCATCACCACCCAAGAACAACAATAAAGCATTTAGAAATGAAAGACTTAAGGAAAGTATACATTTTGGTTAACCATATCTCTAACAAAAAGATTCTGGCAGGATGGCTTCCTGTGTCGTATCTTTGAACCGAACAGTTTCTTAGGATATTTCCTGGTGGTTCAGGTTATTATTTTGAACACAAGTGGAAGGTAGAACTTTGCTTTAATGATTTTTTTTTGCTATGCTAACTTAGGTCTAAGAGTAAAGAACACAATTTGCAAATTGTGATCACTGACTTTGAGCTCCTCGGTTTCCTAATCAAGTGTTTCTCTTTCCTCTGAGAAAAATGATTAATTATATGGTTATTTTTTTAATGATATTATAGCTCTAAGTCATGGAAGGTCAGAATACATAATAGCAGAATACATAAATAGCAGAAAATACAAGTACATTTCTTAAAATACAGTAGAGATGAATTTGAACAATGGCATTTTATGAACTTATTTCTTTCATATCAAACCTGGACGTTTTCCAGCCCCAACAGCTTCATGAGACTGGTAATCACTTTGCAGAGACTCATTCTTGTCTACCCTCATCCTTAAGAAGCTCAGAGTGAGTTAGCAGCAAGGTGTGAGGTGAAATCTGAGACTGAGTATGTTTCCAAGAAACAGAATTCCATTGTGTGTCATATTTTGAACCTGTCTCCTGCATTAGTCCCACCTTTCTGAGATTTGACCTGAAAACAGGGAAGTGAGCCTTCTGCCCGACAGTTCTCATGAAATTCTCCCTCCCTCCTGTAGACCCTGGGCAGACAGGCCAATCTAGGGTATAGGCACTGTTGCTGACCTGTGGCAAATCAGAGAAAAAGCTTTCTCCTTTATTGTGTGCAAGGGAAAACTCAGATGGGCACCAAGGTGATTCTCAGCCTGACCTCTATCTCCATCTAGTGTGTTTTCCTTGGGAAGTTAAAAATTCCCTCAGGAAATGAGATGACAAGACATTCTGGCTGGGACATGGGAAGGATTAAGTGAGGGCACACTCAACGTGCTTAGCTCATCTGGTAGACAGTAGGTACAGGGCAAAAATCATGATTTACCATGGCCCTGGATGATCTACCTTTGCCTGCATTTTGTGTGACAGTCTAGAGATGACAAGTGACTTTACAGTGACAGCTACAGGTAATTTGACTCAGCGTTGAATGTAATGAGCATTAGACTTCTACCCATTTTCCACTACATCTGTCTGATGAGATCGAAATCTGAAACTCAGATGGTTACATCCCTTTTCCATATGTTTAAAAAGAGGCTTAAAGGACAACTTCTCTGTTGTTCGTATCACAACCTGCAATGTATATGTTCTCTTGCTCTTTTATCCTCCTTAAAGTATTCTAAATAAAACTATTTTCCTTGTTCTTTTTTTAAAAAAAAAAGTTTCTAAAGGATTACATGATTAAAATCCAGAAGCAAAGCTAGGAGTTTTCTGCTTCCTTTTTACTGACTTGCCTACAATATCAAAACAAGTATTTGCAAACTTGGCAGCTAAAGAACTTTGAGTTTCCCTTAAATTCTTTCTACATGCTCAACAATGTGCTAAATAAGTGCAAATATAGAAATTGTATTTGACCTGTAAAATAACCTATAGAAAAGTTATACCTGCCGTATGGAAACAGTGGAAATAGCCTGTGAGTTTTCTAATGCTGTTTGTTCACAGGCGGTAGGTCTGTGTCAAGGTTGCAACCTCTACCACTGAACTGGGAAAGCTCCAGGAGTTTCTCAGGTGTCTCAGGTGTGCAGAATGGCTGGTTGTATGCCGGAAGCGTAATGCCAAGTAGGGGCTAGCAAAACTACATCATGTTTGCACAGAATAATTTTGTGACCCATGTGTCATGGCTTCAAGAAATTAGAAGTTCCAGAATTATTTTCCTTGACTATTTGTGTGAAGCAGAAATAGATAACTGGATTGTGAAGTAAATAAAGATTCCATTTATAGACATGCAGCATCTTTTCTGTATATAAAAATATTGGGAGAAACTAGTGTTGCCCAGTGAAGCTTACATTTTAAGACTCT